TAACTTTTACAAGTTTGTAAAAACCAATATAAGATTGTATGAGTCGTGTGATGCTTCATATTACGACGTTAGAGTAGAAATATAAGTATGTGTTGCAAGGTACGCAATAAACGTATAGGGCATAGCTTATATATGTACACACATGCTGAATGAATGAGTTTGTTAGCAAATAAAAAAAAAAAGTCTCTAAATATTTTTTTTGACTAAATCAGACATTAAATTAAATATAACTGATATGGCTTTAATTAAGACCATAGAGTTTGTTACATTTTTAACAGAAACCATATGATATTATACTCTCTCCATTTCTTTATATAAATATTTTCAGTTGAATGCAAAAATATTTTTTTAAAGTAACATTTGATATATTAAATTAAAAATAATTAAATAGATCATAAATAAGTCAGTATTGTTTAATTAAATATACTATATTCAAATATAAAAGTTGCTTAGATATTTGAAAATTATTTATATTTTGAAACAAAAATATTTTTCTAAAACTACTTATTAAAAGAAATAGAAAGAGTAACATATACAGTCGATTATTTTATTAGAAATTGAATTATGTTTCGGTTACTTTAACCTCTCAAAACATGTTTTATACTTTTTTCCATAACTTTTCTCTATACTGGCCTATCAAAATCGTTACAAACATTGGAATGAGAATATGTTAATTGAACTTTGATGGGACCTAAGCCAAAGGAGAGTAAGTTTCAGTCACAGAAATTGTTAGCTAACGCTTTCGATTTCTTCACACTAATTGAATCAAAACAGTTTTCGTTTAGTGTAGTAAGTGACGATATATATTAATAAACAATATAAATTACTAATAAAAAAGCGAAAAATGAAACATAAAACTTTATATCGGCTTTGCTATTATTATTTGACTCTCTCTCTTTAATTATTTGTATTTTATCGTCTCCTGTTTTAGTTTTCTTTCTTAAAAGAAATGGAAGCTTTAAATTATTTCTCGAATACTATTTGCTTATAGCAGTGTTAAATCCAATTACCAAAAAAAAAAGAGTACTTCCGTACTGTATATATATATATATAAGATTGGAAAGTGAGACTTTGGAAGTAGTATTATAGTGTGTATAGATAACATCTGGGGGTCAAAATTATGTTGTTTCAAAGCTTGATATCAAATTATCAAGACGTGGGACTACATTTCTTGGAAGAAAATATCTGATTATTCATGTCTCCAATACCGAAGTTAATTCTCTATATTATCTACGCTTCAAACTTTATGTTTAATGGTGGTTAGACTCCATATATAGATTCATACATAAACACAATTAATAGGCGAACAGTTAATTACTAAGCGCATGTTAGGGAATATATACTGACCACGACACCACGTAATTCTTTATTGGTTTTATACTCCTGCTTAGTTATATTCTGTTTTTACTATTGTTATACTTAAGGATGCTTCTAATGTGATTTGGGATAATGCTCCCATCGGATCCAAATCCATGGGTCGTCTTACTTTATACATTTCACGCATATAAAAGTTGTAATGAAAATGAGAGTTATCTAAATCGTAGAAGATTATTAACAGTAAGTGGACTTATTAAATAACTATCATATGTGTCATCTGTGATATAATAAAACAAAAAGGAATAATAGTGTGGAAATGGAAAAAAAAGTGTGGAAATGAGGACGCAGCGTAAGTGAGTGGAATAGACGAAAAGGCTAAGTGATTGGAAATGAAAGAATTATCGAAGTGTACCTCTGAGTGGAAGCTGACGATGAGAAATGGACCCCTTATTGTCAATTAGTTATTCAAATATGTATTTTTTTAATCAGTATTAATTACATCTTAATTCGTACCAAATTTCGTTCAACGCCAAGAGTAAACACAACAAATATTCCACAGAAATTCTTCCTTTGCCAGGAGACCTCGAAAAGATGAATGACCAAGATTTTTTTAATATAACAAATAAAATAACACTTTTTGTAGTAATAGATAAAGCCACACTTATTAGGGATTTTTAGATAAAATTTTTAATTTTGGTTAAGATACGTTTGATAGGTTCTAACAAAAAAATTTACGCTAAAAATCTCTCATTAAACATACTTAATTTTGAGATATTACCATATTAGATGAAGGATTTACCTTGAAAACAAATAAGCTACAAAGTAATATACAGATTATATTTTTTTCTCATGCAAAAACAAGAAAAAGTAAAAAACTAGCGTATATAATGATACTGATCGAGTTTGGCTGATCACATGTTTAGTTTTCACATGGTTTCTGCTATATGTGGGAGGGAGTGAACTGACTGTGAATAACCTCAAAATATGTAGAAAACAACAAAAATCTTGTGTCTACTGATTTTTCTTTTGAGTGACTCTGAATGGTGATGAACTCTTTTTAGAACAGTTTATGGAATGAATTTATGTTTGATCAAAAAAAAAAAAAAGAACTCTTTTTAGAGTTTCACATTACTGATATGAATAGCTCTAAACTAATGGTTTTATGATGAGTTATCAAAGTATGGATGCCCGAAAATATAGTTTGTTGTTTTAACTAGATTAAACAGTTAAAAACAATAGAAACAAAAAAAAGTAGAAAATATGAACATCATAAAGAGTGAGGTGTGTTGTCGTCAGTTGTTCTTATCATTTTCTCAATGTGTTTGACTAAACAGGAAAAAGCAAATGATCGGAACTTGACCACATATACTTTGATCCAAATAGACTGTGCAAAAATGTGGGGGACCCTTTTAGTTATCTCATATATATTTTTCAAGTTATATCTTTAGTATTGATGAGCAGTGACAAAAAAAAAAAAATCTTTAGTATTGATGAGATAATTGAGGCTTCATGGTTTGGTATGTTGTTTCCATACCAGCTTTTTCATTGGGGTTCTCCACTTTTTCATTTCTCTGTTGAAGTGAACAGATATTTTGTATCATCTAATTTATACAGTTAGATATTTAAAATCATAAAATCGATAATGATCATCTGTTAAAGCATATTATGGCGGTGGGTGGGCTACCTTCTGTTTTTGTTTTACATTAACAATGATTTTATTCTGTTTTCAAATTTTGAAAGAATTTTTTGTTTTCACGTGATTTATGATAACAAACAAATACCATGGAAAATCTTGGATGATTATTTATCATAATAATTGAACAAAACAAATTGAATTACTTTTTGGTACGTTGCTATCTACAAAAAAGCCGTCGTGAATGTTAGTCACTGAACCCTTGCTTTCCGATATTTCATTGTTTCAAGGTCTCATACGTATTCCTTTGTCTGTTTGTTCCTTCTCTTTTTCTTTAGAATCATACATATCTTACGTACGTATTAAATTCATAGATTAAAACTAGTATCTTCATCTTGTAATAATGGTTATTAATATATACTCTTAGCAATAAAACTTAAACAAACATATACTAGTGTTTTTAGTTGTTTTAGGTAACGTTCACTTTGTTTGTTTGTCGTTAACGCTTACAACGTTTGCGGCCATCCCTTCACGTTTGCATCGCTCACCTAATTTTAGCTGCTTTAAAGAAACCGTTTTCGGCCAGTCTCTTGTCCTTATCTAATTACCACGTATTGCCTCCGAAACCCTCTCCCTTCTCAGAGGGTTCTTTACTAAATATCTATCATCAATCAATGGGTTTCTTCTTTTTCCTTTCCTCCCAACTAAAATTCATCAACGTATGACGTGTTATACATTTTACGTCTCTGCTGTAAATTAGAAAGAAAACAAAAGCTAATAATCAAGTAGATGTTGATCTTAAGCTGCTTAACACTAAGACAATTATAATGCAGTATAACATAAATAATTAAATACTAAGAAGATATTCTTACAAGTGCAATATTTTAGTCGGGGTATTTGAGTGGATCGACACTATGCGAATGGTTATTAATTATCTAAAACAGTAATCCTGCTACCATTAGTGAATAATTATATTACAATTCCATTGTTTATCTTCAAAGTATGTTTGAAACTAAGATGTTTTTTGAAGTCATCCACTGATTAAGCTTTAAAAGTAGTAAGAAATACTAATTAAGAAACACACCACTTTAATTTGGGTCCCAACTGATCACCAAACGAACGCAAACTCATAACTAGACGTCTATGTATATATCATTACACATGCATAACCTTATCTATACGCATCAAATTATAATCTCGGCACACTCTTTAGTTCTCACGTGGTTTTTTTTGTTGTTGCTGGTCAAGAATGTAGACATAAATTCTATTGGTGTAAAATTGCGAGTTAAATTTTGCTTGTAATCTTTATCTATAAATTGTGGATGCAAGTAAAAGAACACTTATATCTTATTAGGTATTATAACTCTAGAAAAAAAAACACTGATAAGTGAGTTATTTTAGGCATGTAAGTGAATTCTAGAAATAGCATGCTGCAGGCTGTAGAAACTAGAAACTGTAAATGATTAGAGAATCTCTACAACCGCAAAAGTTGCAGAAAATAATAACTACTCGATTAAGAATGTTCACTGAGACATCAAATATCATATTTTCTATACTCCACCTTTTTCTTTTGCATCAAAAACTTATTCTGCCCAATAACTTTTGGAAATCATAAAAAAAATGTTGATACACAGTACTTAGAGCATTTCCGATCCATCTATATTTTAGAGTTCTCTGTAACAGAGAAGAAAAATAAAAATGAAATTGTTGCTTCAATATTTACTTTATAATAGAGATATGCTATATTTTTCCTCTATATCTCTATTTCTAGTCTATATATTATAGAATTCTCTAAAATATAGATAGGTTGGAGATGAAGTTAGTTACAAATTCACATTCGTTCATTTCGTTCGGATACACCACCTCAACTACTTTAGAAAACGGTACAAAAAAATTCAAAGCTTTGGTAAGTACTCACGTTACGACTCCACACAATCATCATAAATGATAACTGATTAACATAAACTGAATTATGTTGTTTTTTCTCACTCCTTACAAATACAGAAAATAACACTAATAAAAAGTAGACAAAAAAAAGAAGAATATAATACGCAAATATAATAAAATGAATTATACGTTTGACGTTAATTCGCTAGCTCTCTTCTATAAATCCCATCGTCACACTTCTCCTCTTCTCACTAAAACATTTTCAATTAAAAAACAACTTGAACACCAAATTTTATTTTCTCTTTCTTTCTTCGTTTCACAGTCTCAAGAAATGGAAGGAAGACAATATTATCCTCCAAGAGAAACCATCGACGGAGGAAACAGAACCACCTTGGGAGGACCTCACTCGCTGTGGCATTCACCGGTTCCTTATCTTTTCGGTGGTTTAGCTGCCATGGTTGGTCTCATCGCCTTTGCTCTTGTAATCCTCGGTTGCTCTTACTGGCGTCTCTCTGGTTACTTCGACGGTGAGGAAGACCAGAGCAGAGATCTTGAAGCCGGAGATGTGAAGCCTGATAAACCGGCGAAGGCTGTAGCTTTGCCGGAGAAGTTTTTGGTGATTATGGCCGGAGATGTGAACCCCACGTACTTGGCAACGCCGGCGGAAAAAAGCTGCACTTGTGATGAGGATGAAGACGAGGAGGGTGGTGATGATGACGTGAAGGGTAATGATCAGGTGGTGCGGCGAAATAATGAAAGCAACGGTGTGACACATTGAGAAACAGAGTCTATAAAGAGACAAAACAGTGGATCGTCTATTGTGAACAGTTCTTCAGACTGTTTGCATCTGACCCAGTTAGAAATCGGGTTTGGTCAGAGCTCTACATGATGAGCCTTAATTGTAGTCTGACATATAAAGTGGCAAAAGAATCATGTAAAAAAAATGGAAATGAGTGTGGATTTAACAATGTTGTTTAATCAAATGTTATTTAGGCTTTTTTGTTTTGAAATTTTTACTTCATAAGTTTTTGTTATAATATGTTATAATAGAAAGATCCGGAAAATGTATATTTTTGAGATTTTGAATGGAAAAATTGTGAATATATTTGTTATTTTTGAACTTCGTATGAAAAAATAATTGTATGATTAAAATTGTACTGTTATGGTCAGGACCATTAGGACCAGATGTTTAACAGAAAAAAAAATAGTCAGGACCAGTTCCTGTTTTACGTGGGACTAATGTGACAAGTGGTTCGGAAAGTCTTCAGGTTAGAAAGTTGAAGGGGAGAACCAAAGGCACGTGTGAAGGCGCATGCAGAAGATAGTCTGTAACTATACACTCATATGTGTCTTCTCTGATGCTGCGAGGTGTAGCAGTTGGCTTTCATTCTATGGCCAAAGTGTGTAATTAACTATTTCAATTTAGCATAGTTTCTACATTGAAATGACAACGAATGTTTGTAGGTTTTGTGAAAAGACTATAACTTCCCTACTCCCTAGTTTCTTTTTCCCTAGTGCATCTTTATCTTGTAGCCCTAACTACGTTTCTACTTTTTATTGCTTTGAAGCTATGCCTTCTTTAAATATACATTCGTTTGCATTTTCAATTATGCTACTAAAATGGATCACCAGACTAAAATGGTAAATCATGTATGTTATAAATTAACTTTTATGAAAAAACGTCAAACTTATGTCGCAAAGTAGTCTTTGTTGCATAATTTTATTACATTGAAATATTACCAAATTTATACTTGAAGGCTCACTTCATAAGCTAACGCCAGCCTTTTCGGCTTAAAACCCAATACTACTTATGTTGAGTAAAAATATTGGGTTTTATTTCGGCCTATTGCAATTGTTTGTATTTACTTTGTTAACCATATAAACGGGCCAAAACTGATCCAACCGTTAACTAAAATTGCCAAAAATAAAATCATATTTTGAAGTTGGCCTAATTAAAGCCCCAAATTTGAGAGATCAAATACGTGTGTGATGTGCACGGGAGTTAGTGTTGTGTAGTTTAAAATAATCTATGATCAAGAGAATCGATCGTAACCAGAAACATTGGTCTCTGGTCTCCAACATAGGCCAATGTCTCCCTATACATTTATATCTTCTCTTATCATGAACTCTTCTTTGAAGAAATGGAGAACAAATGTGGCTAAGAACATCCCTAAACTTCAACCTCTAAATCAGTGTTTTACTTATAATGAGATCTATAAAGCCACAAATGATTTTCATCAAGGACAGACCAAATTGTATTACTTGGATTAAATCATCAACCCAAGACAAAAATGATTGAAACTTTTGTTTTTATACAATAATCTAATCTAGGTTTTTGGTTGAATTGCAGAGAACATAGTAGGTATAGGAGGGTATTATGAATTGTACAGGGGAGATCTATGAGACGGAAGAAGAATTGCAGTGAAGAGATCATTAACGAAAGAGAGTGATGAAATGAACAAGGAGAAAGAGTTTCTTACGGAACTAAACATCATAAGTCATGTCACTCATCCTAACCACTGCTCTTCTCTTAGGTTGTTGTGTTGAGAGAGATCTCTATCTTGTCTTCAGGTTCTCAAGAAAACGGAAATTTGTACTCTGCGCTGCACAGTAACCTAACTTAATATTCTCCTTCTAGAGGTCATTAGCGGACGAAGCCCGGTTAATCCCTCTCAGAAGCACATTCTCTTATGGATATAATTCTAGTCATACCCGCTTGCTTGCCTCACAAGACACGAAACAAACCCTCTAGTTGACTTTTATATCACTAATCTGTTTTAATGTTACTAGGGAATACTCAATGTTAAATTTATTCAAATAAAAAAAAAAATTTACAATGAATGAATCATGTGTTAAAGTTTGTTTAGAAAAATAAAAAAGAAAAAGAAAAACAATGTCACTAGGGATTTAAGTTTTCAACTCACAAGTATCTCTTATTATTTCAGAATTATAATTGATAGTTATGATGATGAATAATTTTAATGATGGACAAGCTTTATTTTCAAACTATAGATGCGTCCATTGTAAAAGAAGGTATTTGCGGATGAATAAATTTAAAATTCATCCAGAAAATAAATATGATGGACAGGCGAAGCTGGCATTGGGGATAAGTAACACAAGTGAGTTGTTGATCCGATATGCGTTTAAGTACGACGATCAACAGATGAACATGCTTTGTCCTTACAGCTTCACATTGTGTCCAACTATCACCGATATTACGACCAAGCATGACTCAGGTTTGTTACATGTATATTCGATATCCATCGTAACATATTAGAATCAAATGGTTAAGAAAACGAATTTAAATGGTTTTGGTTTTGTGATTTTGTATTCTGTAGTGAAGATACTGGAGTTGCTCAGAAATGGGAACGAGGCAGAAATTGCAAAGAGCTGGAGAAAGCTGAATGCCTAAGGATATGACGAAGGGCGATAAGGATAATGATCAATGGGATCACTATTCTATGGTTTTCGAATATCCTTACTGATAGATTTTTAATTCTTTTTATCTCCAGGACAATTGAGGGATTCATTCATTTTGTGTCAAGTTTCACAACTAACAAAAATAAGTTACTAATCAAATTTAAAAGAAAAAAAAACATAATGTCTATACTAAACTGAAACATATTTTTGAATTATTTTCAGAATTTGATACAGAGCCAAAACATACATATTCTTTTCTTTTTTAATAAAAATATTACATATTCTTTTCTCCAATTGTTATGGCTCCAAACTTTAAAGACCTGAGAGTAGTATAAAACCAATGAAAAGTTAGCCAAAACGAACCCCAACACTTTTCTTTTAGAAAAAAATATTTCTTTTTTTATCAACAAGAAAACATTATATTTCTTTTAGATTAAGAAAAAGATATATTGCATATGTTGTGTGTATAGAATAAGATACATGAATTTGTCGTTATCGAAAACAAGTTAATTGAAAGGAAAAAAAAGCAGTGGCACTTTAATTTGATCCAATAAGAAAAGAAAGCAATAGTATGGATCTAAACAGAGACAGTTTTTTTGTGGGATTTTTATATAACATAAATTCAATCAGAAAAGAAAGCAATAGTATGGATGTAGACGTTGATAGTTTTTTTCGTATATGGAATGCAAAATAAGATATCTAATCATTTGTGTTAAAAATAATATAATAATGAGAAAATGTAAAATTTGAGATTAAATGTAAATATTTTGGCTTTTCCTTGTACTAAAATATATAATTAAATAAATTCTTAACTACAGTGTAAACACAACAATCACGCCATGGTATGTTAGTTCTTTCTGTTAGCTTTTTTTCCTTGCATATACAATGTTCATCTAGTGGAAGATGGGAACTGTCAGGATGGGGATTAAGGTGCAGAAGTGGACCACAAGTCAGCCCTTGGGCCGACGATGCACGTGGTTGGGGTGTGGTCGGACCCTCCACTTGTCCCCTCTTCGACCCAAGTCCATGTCGGACCCCCTTTGGGCCACGCAGGTCTGACTTTCGAGAAGCCGACATATAGTTTATCTTTTTTACTCCCAATTTATTGTTTCGACTGGTAATAAGTTTGTTCCCCCTCCAAATGTGACAGTCTTTATTACCTCTTCTTTACAACAATGGTGGGAGCTAATTTAAAGAATGCTTGGTTTGACATAAGAAAAGGTTTCCAAAACTCACGAGTCGTGACTATAAAGTTCTGACTACATGCATTGACGATCTGTGAACTTCTTGTAGGAAATAGACGTAAAACGCGTTATCATGCTAACTTAGACAAGTGTACTTAGCGAACTCTTATTGAAACCGAATTTCAATTAATAAGACTAATAATTATATGATTAGTATCTAATAGACAATGAGTTTGGTAGAGTTTACCTAACGAGCTTAATCGAAGGTAAATTGAGGGAAAACCACCATAGTACCCAATTTATACGTGACATTCAACATCAAACTTTTTAATTATTTGTTTTCGGTTTAGTAAATCAAAACTTTAGGTCTATGTATTGTCAGAACCCTGCTTTAATGGCTATTATTAACGTTATTATGATTGCATATATGTGGCCCCAGAGCCACAGCATTTCGTAGCCACTATTTGCAAATCTTAAGCTACCTTCCAATAAATGATCATGCCTAAAATGCCCATTGCATCAAGGTCTCTAAACCCACTTGGACGGCAGAGGTCTCTGTCAACTATTGCAATCAAAATTGTTGATTATGGGGTAACTTTATATATTCAGAAAACGTAACTATCTGCTTATTAAGATGTAAATGACTTTAGAGTGCAAATTGAAGAAAGCATGAGTTCAGAAGATTATGTAAATAGTTAACGCGTAGCAGATTGATTTGCTCTTTTTCTTACATAGTTTTATCATATCATATATATAGAAACCCTAAACAAGTTGTAAGGAAGCCATGGCATGATGTAACCTTTAAGGCTTTAAACTATAATGTAACTTGCAATTACCATATAAGTTTTATACAATAAAAACGATAACGTAAACTTCTTTTTTGACTAAATATAACCTAGAACTCTTGCTTAAACATTTTTATAAATCTTGAGTCTGCGTGGTTGGATGAATGATTATGATATAAAAAGGATTGGAGAACCAGATACCTAATACTATGGTTATGAATGGGAGAGGCAGGACAAAGGCAGATCATGCAGTTCTTCCGCAATAGGCAGTTCTCCTGCCTTATGTTTACCATTCACCATTTTTTGTTTGTAAAAGCAGTTCAAGCGGGAGATCTGCATGCAGTTCAATTTTTTTGTCTTTTAGTAGAAAAAGCAGGAGATCTGCATGCAGATCTCATCCGCTAACATTTGGTGGTGTTGATCTGCCTTTTTTTTTTCCTTTTCTTAATAAATAGTTTTATTACAAACACTTAACTTTAAAATATATTTATTTGATTTTATAAATAATGTACAATTATTAACTCAAACTATATAGTTCACTTTAATATTATTTGTGTCATTTTAAAGTTATAAGTATGATGTATAATCGCCAAAAAACACAATATTTTCCACGAAAAATATAAATTTTTCTACATAAGTGTCAGCAAAAAAATAATTATTTTATATTTTAAAATAATTAATAAATAGAAGAAGTATAAGCATCTAATAAATTTTTTACAGACATTTCGGCTGAACATACAACATCTGAAATATTTGTTTTGATATTTGGTGTAATTTTTATTATTTTAATATATGATATATAATGTGAACATATTTTGTCATTTTAAATTTATAATAAATTATTTAATCTGTTTTATCTTCATTTTTATATATAAATATTAACAAAGAATTAAATATTAGGATGTATGTTCTTCAAAAATAATTTTGATCAACTAAAACGCTACAAGCATCTTATGAAAAATCCAATAAACATTTAGGCTGATCTTATAACATTTAAATATTTATATTGATATTTGGTATAATTTTATTCTTTTAATATATGATCTATAGTTTTGAACTTATTTTGTCATTCATAATTTATGATAAATTATTTGATCTGTATCTCTCTTACTTGATCCGCTTGATCTGTATTTATCTTGCTTTATCTGCACTTGTCCTGCTTGATCTGCATGAACCGCTTGATCTGCACCGCTTGATCTGATTTTACCATTCGAAGCCTATTAATCGGTAAATCACCAATCACTTACGACAAAAGCATCATAGTCCCAAATGACTTTGACTTTATCTGACAATAATCACGAACCTGCATAGAGATAAAGATTGGCTCTACAGAAACCAAAAAGGCAAAGTTTTATGAAGTTCCGGACAAAACCAGTAACTGCATTCTTCCTACTTTCCTCAAATTTTAAGTCAATCTTTTCGCCTTTTACTCTGCGAAAATTCCACATATATCGGAAATATACAATGTTGGCGTTACAAAAAAAAAAATCGGAAATATACAATGAAACTTTGAATAATTGAGGTAATTAATTACCGAGCCGAGACAAAAAAATATCTCTCGACCAAGACTATATACTTTTACAAAAAGAAACACAATAAGGAATTTGATGTCCGCATAACTATATTTAATTCATAAATTTTGTTATAAAATACTCCACCTACATTAGCCAATATATATTGTAATTACCAAATTATATGATTTTCACTTTGCTAAAATAAGCATACATAAATAGAAAAAAGTTACAGCTTACAGACTTACAGTAGCAGTGAGAGAGACAGTACAAAACAGGATAAATTATTTTTCTACGGTAAGTCGACGGTGGAAGAAAGGAAGTCTTCAGGTAAATCAGAACGTCGGTACGACACCGTATTGCGCGACAGAAGCGTAAACTTGACTAAAGAAAACGTCGTCGTTCTCAGTCTCATTTCGTTTCGCGAAACGGCCCTTGATCCTTGGCCGTGACTCAGCGTAAGCTTTCCTCGAAGCGTAACGTATCGTCTTCTCGAACTTCCTGTTCTTACGCTTCTCTCTGTACCTCATAACCCTAGCCTCCCTATCCATGGAGCTCGGTTGCTCACTCCCCGTCGAAGTAGTGATCGTGCTTGTGCTCATGTTAAACGGAACCGTGTTGGTCCCGTCAGGAACGACGCCGTATTCGAGAGACGAAGTCGAAACCTGAAAGTTAAAAATATAAATCAGGTGAAATCGAGGTCTTGAGTTCGAATCTCCACAAGAGCATTTTATAATACTTTTTTTTATTTTTTTCATTAAAAAAAAAAAAACTCAACGGAGGAGAGGAGACTAATTACACTGTGGCTGATAGATTGAGTTGGGTAGGTGAAAGTGGAGAGCTTTGATCTGCAAAAATCTAAGTCGAAACAGAGTTCGTTGTTAGTTAAAGGAAGAGGCTCTGTCTTTGTCTGAACCGGTACGAGGCTGTCTGCTCCAAAAGAGTTTGTGTACTCGAAGTCAAATTCAGACAACACGAACTCAGAAGAAGACTTCAGTTCAGTTCCGGTTTCGATTTTATTGAAGTCATTAGGGAGCAGCCACGTGCACAAATCGGAGTTCCCCATCACCGGCACGGCGGTTAAGTCAACGGCGGTGGAGTCGCCGAGGATTCCAAACGTCGAAGGTGAGATTTTCGCCACGGCTGAGTCGAAGAAAGACTCGACGGGGACTCGTTCATGGCGGCTAGCGAGAGGGTTAGCCGCGTGGATGTCGGAGTCGCAGGTGACGCAGAGCGAGGCGGCGTCGGCTTTGCATGTGACGGCGGCGGGAGCTTGTTCGCAGACTTCGCAGACGTACACGCGCTCGTGGCGCGTGAAGGAGTGGATCCTTGTGTCGCAAGTGATGCATAAGAAAGCTGAGTCAACTCGGCAGAACACGGCGGCGGAGACTGATTTACAAGCGTCGCAGGAACGCGCCGCCGCGCCCCAGCCGCGGGAGAGTGGGTTGATGCTCTCTAAGCCGAATCCCATTTACTTCTCTTTCTACTCTTTGTTTTTTGTTCTCTCTTAAATGTTTATTTTATAAAACTCTGTTTGAAGTTTTAAGAACCTCTAAAGTTTGAGAATGTGTGAGAGTTGGGTATTTGATTTGCTTGGATGATCTGTCATGCCCAGTCGGATAGAGAAGACATATTACGGATCAACGAATTAAAATGCGACAGGTGGAGTAATTGTGTCCACATAAAATACGTTTTTTGAATATAGTATGGTGTATTTTTTTTTGTCGATACTATGGTGTATATTAATTATTTTCTTTTCTTTTGCTTACGCATGGAGAAATATGTTTCTTAAAAACTAAAATTAGGTTGACAAGAAACCAGCTAATTTTAAAATAAATCAAGCTGTATATCACTTTTTTGTTCTTTTAAATGTCGGAGCTATTTTAAACTTTTAATATCTATATATTAAAAAAATTAGTAACCCAACTCTTAATATTTATCTATTAAACATTTTAGTATCCCCAAATAATTTGGATGTTATTTTGAGTGGGGTTTATATATTATGATAATGGGTTGTATTTGGATTGTGTCATTAAAAAAAAAATATTATGGAGTTTTGATATACGAATTCGTTATAACAAATACTTGAAGGAATATCTATGGCCTCTAAAAAGTTTATTAGATAAAGATTCTAACTATTATGCTAATTTTTCGTCAGTTTTCGTGTATCAATAACTTTTATGTCATTTTCATACATTATTTATTATGTGAATGGATACTAGCCTATAGTCTCTTTTTCAAACAGGGTTCGAATTTGATAACTACTATTCAAATCCTTTGTTAAAACATAATTACTCAAATTAATTAATTATAAACTATAGCTCTGTAGTGGATGATTTATTCTTGCAGCGTATTCGGATGGGGTCCCTTCACGTACGTGAGGGATGTTCTTGGAATTTTGAGAACGGATGGTCGGCATAGCTTTTTATCTAGTTAGGCATGAAAGCAGCGTTTGATTTTTCTTTCTAAATTCAGAAACTTTGACTTCGAGAAATCATAAAATATATCTTTGCTTAAGATTTCATTTTACGGTTTTAGTAAGATTCGGTAATATAGTGTACAACTACGAATTGAGCAATACGCATTTTATGTGTTGTAAAGCAACGTGTTCTCTAGATTATTGAGTTCTCTTGAGAGACACCTGATTTCGTACTTTCGCAGCACAACTATTGTTATATATATACATGTTTTAAAAAATAAAACATTTTAAGAGAATTTATCTCTATTCTGTTCAAATTATATAATAATTTAAATATATATCTCTCACTTTTTGAACTAAATTTATAGAATAATACTTAGATTTTTATCTGACAGGTTGATTGATTTCTTCGACCAAACGCCAACGGATATCTATCTCTACAGGATATCTTCCCGAGGTACACGCACCCAAAAGTTTTGCTGTTTTTGGCGCTGAATGCAATGCACTGTACATTTTACTTGATTTGGACCCATCTCGATATTTTATCGTCATATTTTTACTTCTTGTATTATCTCCTTATTCGATGGAGTATTTCAAATGTACAGTGCATTTTGAATGGCTTTCTGCAAGTTTTCTGATCGTATAATGATATATATTGGTCTCCTTAATCACAACTTAAAAACATGAGTAATAGTTTGGAATGGATTTAACCACAACTCGAAGCTGTTCATATCACATCATCACAATATTAACATAATGTAGTATTTTGGTTAGTGTTAATGTAACGATCCAAAACCCAGTACAATTATTTCGGCCCGGCTAGGCCCAGTTGTGTGGCAGAAAACCCTAAACTCTTCCTATTTAAAGAGAGATTAATGTTCAGCAGACACGTTTTGGGAGAACAAAAGAACGATCAATCAAATCTAGGAATTTCGAAGCCAAATTTTGAGGTTATGCTCTACACTCGTAGATCTACGTATATCAAAAAAACGAATCGTCATTTGGAATTTTTATCTAAGAGTTATGATTATTTCTTCCTGACTGATTTCTGCAGATCGGATCTACCAGCAGTCATCTTCATCAGTATTTTCCCGTTGATCCAGAATGAACCAGGAAACGAGCGAGATATCACTGGAAAGATCTCAATGTCAGCTTTTTAGATCATCTTTCCGATCGTAAAACAAAGGTACAGTTAGAGAGTTATTGACGGTTCTTCATGGCGATAATTAAACTGTTGTGTTGTAGAGGTAGTTCCGAGAAGTCTCAGCGTAAAGGCAAAACGGTCAACCTAAACGAAAGCTTTCAGTCTGGAAATTTGTCAGTAAGTATTTAGTTCTTTTATCTATCATCCCCAGCAAACGGATTGTCATTTGGAATTATTTTCTGAGAGTTATGCTTATTTTCGTGAATGGTGTTGGTGCAGTCTGCGTTTGCGACCAACTTGGAGGCGAGGCTATTTTGAGTAATCAAACGGTGTCTGATCGGTATAAACTCGGTGGCTATGGACAGAGGACGTCTAGGACTACATTCTGACCGGAGGGATTGAAAAGTTAACGGTTAGTTCTTGAGTTATTGATCTGTTATCTCTAGTGTTCAGTTCTGCCAGGATCTTCACATTCATCTATTTTCAGAGAGTTCCGGAGTTGCTGTTTTTAGAGCCATCAGGGTCATTCAGTGTTTTCTCAGGTTTCCTTCAGAACCCGTGGCAAAGGTGAGGGTCTATTCCGTAAATCCCGTACCAGTATAGAATTCTTTCTATCGTAGTTTAGATTTCAAAGCATGATCCGTCTGTTTGAATTGAGTCTGTCTGAGTTTTGTTTAGTAGTTAGTTCATTGATTGTAACCGGAACTAGGGGTCTAGAGGATTCAACTATGTTTTGATTGTTTGATGCTAAGTGATGCAATATATATATGTACGTATACATAGTTATGAGTAGGGACTATGTGAGGGGCGTGAGTTCGGAGCTGTCCGGGCTTCGACGCTACGATGTGGGGCGTGAGTTCAGAGACGTTTGAGCTTCGACGCTACTGTTTGGGGCGTGATNTCCCCTGTTACTCACCTCTCATTCTTTCCCCTTTCAGGTGATACTGACGATCGAGTGTGATCTTTTCGGATTGGTGCTTTTGGGAGTTTTATTTATTTATTTTCAGACTTATGCTTTTATCGATATTTTCGAGAGTTATTACGTTATTTGGATTTATGGAGTTTTTGAGATGATTTATGCGATTTAATAAATGGAGATTCCAGACATTATTATTTATATATTATTTTGGAAAATGCGGGTGTTACATTTTGGTATCAGAGCGGGTTCCGTCCCGGCTCCGACCCGGGATGGCGATCAGTGAGGACTCGGTTTTTATCGGTTTTTATCTATTTTTAATGATTTCTAAAATGATTTTTGGGGACTTGGGAATTTTTAAAATGATAGCACCTCTCCGTTTAGTAACTTCTAATCTAATTGTCTTTTATGTCGATGAGTAAAATCATCGTCATCCGTTCTTCAGCTAACAGGTTTCCAGCCAGAGGTTCAGGTTACGGATGGATGATGTCAGAGCTCGTCAGATTGCTGAGGCGTTTATCGGGTTCATGGGTCGTGTTCAGAGATTATCTGCGAGTGGACATGTGACGAATCTGCCATCCACATTCAAGCTATCGCTTCACGAGTTTTGTTTCTGGAGTGTATGTGATATGTGATATGAGTTATAGGCCATTGGTTGGCATGTGTTACGTTGTGTATGAGTATATGGATTATGTGGAGGTATGTATGGGTTGTAAACTCGTGGGGATCGCTTTTAAATTTGGGGTGCAGCAGCTCGTATTGTGTTGATATTAGAGCTTCACTTGGCTTTGGTTGCCAGTTCTTGATTGTGTTGATCGTTTCAGAGATGTGTCAGTTCGGACAACTGACATATAGACGTTTGGAGCTACTTATTCATCGAGTTGTACCAGTTATGGTTGGAGTGATCAATTTATTTGAAGACTTCTAGGAGTTGAGCTTTTGCGATTTTATTCTTACGATGCAGTGGCTATCACGACATCGAGTAGCATTGGATTGTTTGTATTTCTGGAGCATAGGAGATTTTCATAGCCGCCATTTCTACATGTTGAGGAATTCTTGGATGTAAGATCATATGGATATTTGAGACCATTTTGATGGTGAAGGACGACGGAAAGAATTGATTGCGGAACCTTTCATTACAGAGTATGAAGATGTATTTATGATCTTTGGAAGGGACATCGCCAAGCATAGGAGATGCTTTGAAATGGAACGAAGGACGCCACCGGTTTCACGAGTTCTGTACTGATTAGCGCCAACATAGATCGCCGAGCCGAAGAACCAGATGGACGATTTATTTGACAGAAATTTTATTAGACAGAGTACTTCACCATGGGGACCACTAGTGTTGTTGCGACGAAAATTAGAAGGGAGTTTCAGATTTGGTATCAATTGCAGAGATTTGAATAAAGTGATCATCAAGAATAAGCATCCGCTTCTGTGTATTGATGAATGGTTGGACTAGCTGCTGGGAGGTTCATTGTTTTCGAGGATTGTCTTGGCATCAGATTACCACAAGATTACTGTAGCTGAGGGAGTTGTGCGGAAGACGGCTTTCCGCTCAGGTTATGGGTATTATGGGATAGTAGTGAAACCAATTGGGTTGACAAGTGCACCGTAGCATACGTGAAGCTTATGAATGACCTCTTTCGTGAGCACTTCGACAGCACCTCTATGTATCCTTGGAGTAGAGGAGTGTGACGAGCATTTGCAGATTATGTATTGTTGCACGAGGATCAGGTTATTGCATATAGATGGCGCCAGTTGAGACATATTGAGATCCACTACCCTGCTCATGGTTCAGAGAATCTGCAGTGGTATTTGAGATAAGATTTTGGAGATTATAATTGTTCAAAGAGGAAGTTCAGATATTTTGGGATCATCAGAGTGAATTTTATCTTCATTCATTAAAAACTTGTATTTGAGGCAGTGCAGTTGTATTGAGTTAGGAGCAAACAACAGTTCAAATATTACCTGTCATTTGGTAAGGTCAAC